CCAGGGGTATTCCAAAAACTAAATTCCAGCTAAACAAGGTATTCCAAAACGAAATTCCAGCTAAACAAGGTATTCTAAAACTAAATTCCAGCTAAACAAGGTATTCCAAAACGAAATTCCAGCTAAACAAGGTATTCTAAAACGAAATTCCAGCTAAACAAGGTATTCCAAAACGAAATTCCAGCTAAACAAGGTATTCCAAAACTAAATTCCAGCTAAACAAGGTATTCCAAAACTAAATTCCAGCTAAACAAGGTATTCCAAAACTAAATTCCAGCTAAACAAGGTATTCCAAAACTAAATTCCAGCTAAACAAGGTATTCTAAAACTAAATTCCAGCTAAACAAGGTATTCCAAAACTAAATTCCAGCTAAACAAGGTATTCCTCAGCATGTGCACTTCATGACTTACCTGTTACCACTTGGGTATGAAACTACTATATCATGGTCTTCATCTATCCCTACAACTGTACCAGTTGTTCCCAAGCACTGTGTGAATGTCATACAAACAGTTCATATCAGTACATACATACCATGGTGAGAATAAAATTTAGCACACATGAAAGAGTGAGGTCATGACAGTTTATGTACCGGTATAAAGCATTCAGAAGGATTTTAGTTTTGATGATTTACCACTCAGAGATTTTTAAAAATCTCTGATGAAAGGAGCTGTGCTATTAAAACGTCTTCCAAATTTTCTGTATTTAGACAGCGATAATAGCTTTTGTGGGTCTAGATTGGTCTGAGTGATAGGCTCGTGGAGTGTTCACTCTCAAACGACATACCCTTACTCTCTAGAAAATAGTGAAACCCTCATGTTATATAATTATACATCTAGTGTCAAGAAGCAGCATTTGAATTGATTCGGAACATATCTGGGTATTAACCATGTCAACATTGAACACACTCTAGAATATTTAAGGTAGAATGCTACACAGAAATAAAAATATTGATTTTTTTTATCATTTTTACATATTCGATATTTCATGTCACATGGATTTAGAAAATGGGATAAAAATATGGGGTCACCGTACTCGGTTTGGAGAAAATCAATGTACAAAAATAGATTGAAAATAACAAGTTTTATCTGTTCTAGGGCATTTTAACATTGTTTTTGATAGAACAAATATATATCTCAGTATCTCAAAATTTTGCTGAGTGACATATGGTAAAAAAAAGATGTATAGTGATACTTTTTGATGTCTCGAAGTATTAAAAAATTTACAATATTTTAGTACGTCTCATTAGGGTAATGTGTTTTAATTGTGGTCAATAGAAACTGCTGCTTTTATGCATAATATTTCACAGTTTGACAATTAACATAATTTCACATACTGTTGAGTAATATAATACTAAAACTAATAATTGTAGACATATTTTGACACAAAATATTGCTACTGTACTGTAAGTGACATTCAAACAAAGACGACAACACTGTAATTTTTCAAGTTTTACAATTAATGGCACAAATACAAGTACTCATCAAACTCATCTGTACCTCATACATGCCATCTGTCCATCCA